ACATTTAGTGTGTTGTTTTGTAAAAGATTACTTTTGTTTTCATATAATCTTTTATTTAAATTCCTTAAAGTTTCTCTTATATATTCGTTGTGGCAATTATTACAGGTATAATCCTCCTTCAGGTTTTCAGAAGTTTTTTTAGTTTTAGAAGTAGATGTGATAATTTTTTTGTTGAGTTTAGATAAATTCTTTCAATTGTAGTTGTGATAGAGTTGGAAGGTAGAACAATATATCTTGATGCGTTGTCAGAAATGGTCGCTTTTCTATCTTGAAATATTACGTTGAATATGATTATATATATATATATATATATATATATATATATATATATATATATATATAGTTAAGTAACGAAAATCTTGGTAATCCGTATGGATAATTCCAAAAAGGATGAAAATGAAATCCTGAGAGCTCAATGTTAATTCAGAGCGAATAATTTAATTTAAAGAAAAACAGACCACTTCAAGGCTCCATTGTAATAATTTATTTCACCAGAGACTTTTACTTTTCCCTAATTGCTAAAGCTATACCACCCCTCTTATTCCTCCGAAAACCCTACGTACATCTCTTTTCTCTTTACTCCCCGCTTTTTTCTTTTTCCCTTTTCCCCTTTTCCTTTTCCCATATCATTTCCGTTGAGTTGACCGATTAAATAGGTCAACGTCTGATCCTTACCCACTCATTCTGCATATAAAGTATAATCATAAAAAGAAATATAAAAATAAATGTTATAACTCTCCCTACCCTCTCTAAACTCGACCATGTCTCTCACACCATTCCTCGCTACCTTCTATGTCAACTTATATAAGCTTAATACTGCCTGTCAAAAATGTAAATTTTAATTTCATTTTTCGTTTCACCTTTTGAAAGTGATGTCTGAAGATCCAGGGAAAAATAAATGTCTCTGGTGAAATAAATTATTACAAATGGAGACTTAAAGTGGTCTGTTTTTAAACATTCAGGCCGGTAAATGTTGTTTAATACTGTTTATTATAAACAGAGAATTTACTTAAATATTTGTATCTATAAAAAGAATGTTAAACATAAAAATGTCTTTAAATAATTGTCGGACTTTGTCCATTTCATAATGTGTGACGTCATTTGTTTATATTTGATACGCCATGAGCAGATATGAATGTACGTGAGAGATTCATGGAAGATTGAAATTTATAAGCAGTAAATTCGATCGTGCCAACCTAACGGTCTTTTGTGGCCGAGAGGTAATGCACGTGAGGTTATATGACTGTTCCGTATAGGATACAGGTTCGAATCCTGTCGAAGGATGAATATTTTCTGTCAAAATTTCTCGGACATTCAGGCCGGTAAATGTTATTTAATACTGCTTATTATAAACAGAGCATTTACTTAATAATTGTATCTATAAAAAGAATGTTAAACATAAAAATGTTTATATATATATACAGACATGACAGAATTGAATAGACGCTAGCAGAAACCGCTTTTTATTAAACAAGTAATTTATACAAATGAATTAATTATAAATGGTCATAAATTTAATAACTAATACTTGGTTGACATCACTTTTTCTTTTTTTAATGCAAGGACCCTTCTAGGCATGCTAGCGATGAGTTCACGAATATCATCTTGAGGGATTTCTTGCCATGTTTGACACAATAATCCTAAAAGTTCGGGCTTAGAAGATGGCTTCCTGTTCTTTTTGCGGAGTTTTCGATCTAATATGCCCCAAAGGTTATCAATAGGGTTAATATCCGGGGACTGACTTGGCCACGGAAGTTTATTCATCCCATTTTGTTTCAACCAATGTTGCGTTGCTTGAGCAGTGTGACATGGAGCTCCATCTTCCATAAATAGGGAGTCAACTTTGCTCATTCTACTACTTGAGAATATTGGAAGGAGCCCTTTCTTTAATATAGAAACATATTTGGTTGAATTGATGTTTCCTTCACACTCCACAAGCTCTGAGCGACAATCACTCTAAATTGCACCCCATACCATTACTGAAAGGCCACCATGTTTCACCGTTGGCTGCAGTCTTTTTAAATCAAACTCTTGACTACAGAGTCTCCATACCCATACTCTTCCACTGTCAGAAAATAATGTGAATCTTGACTCATCAGAGAAAATGACAGTGGTCCAAAAGGTCACGGGTCTCTTTACCATCTCATGAGCCCAATTCTTTCTGTGTTTGATATTGGCTGAACGGAGAAGTGGTTTCCTTCTCAGAGCTTTGCCATTGTAGCCCAGCTTGTGAAGATACCTGTCAGCTGTTCTGGGACTGACATCAATTTCTGTTGGTATGTCAGAGGCCTTGCAACGTGGATCCTGTTCAACATTTCTTTCGACAAGATGCATGGTTCTTTCAGAGGGCCCAGGACGGCCTGGATAAGGTTTTGTGCACTTCTTGCTCTCTCTGGTGAATAATACGATCACTCTATTAACAGTAGAAAGGAGTATTGAAAGATTTTCAGATATTTTCTTTGACTAAGACCACCTTCATGTTGGCCCACGATACGTCCTCGCTGAAATTCGGATCGGTCTGATGCTCCTTTGGTTCGTGACATGGTCCAGTATTGTTATCTGCAAATTTAATCAAATAATCTAAGTTAATTAATCTTGGTTATTAAAAAGATCGAAGTTAATTTATCATGGTGATTAAAAAACATCAGAAATTAAATTTATCTTGGTGTCTATACAATTCTTTCTTGTCTGTGTATATATATATAAATCTATATAAATAAATTTCCAAGAGGATAGAATCCAGGGATATACCCTTGTGCAAATGAATTGAAACAAATCGAATAATTCCGTTATTATTTACTTTTTTCGTAATTTTTCGAATGGAACATGAACTTGTGCGCATGACAGCCAACCAGGGTTTTATTTGTCTTAATGGAACATCTCCTTGTTCAGATTTATACATTCGGCCAAGGAGAGCCTGACAGCCAACCAGGGTTTTATTTGCCTTAAAGCAACGTCTTCTTACGATTTTCTTTAAAGCCCATATCTGCTGTGGTTTATAACGGGAAGTTAAACAAAGTAATTTGTAAAGCAGGGGTCTGCAACCTTTTGCTGACTATGCGCTAACTTAGGGTTTTAAAATCATTCAGTGTACCAACAGCAGAGGTATTTTTATACAAGTCAATGTCAATATACCTGTTCTACAATATATTTTATATAGTAATATATAGTATAGTATACTTTAGTCTATATTAAGATGGAAACAGCTAAATATCTTCTTTGTGTTGTAGTAGTTATTGGTTCGGACTTCATGATGTCTTTTTCGACAGCGTGCCATTTGAACTTGCTTGGCGTGCCATGTGTGGCACGCGTGCCGTAGGTTGCCAACCCCTCGTCTTAAGAATTGATCGATTTCTTTTTAATCCGACATATTTGTATTACTTCAAGCGTTATTTTAGTGGATACCCGTGTTGGAGTAGAACGTCCTGTTTTTTTAAACAGTGTTTATTTCATTACATCTGTTGAGAAGAAAGAAAGAGAGTGAGTGAGAAAGAAAGAAAGAAAGAGAGTGAGAGAGAACGAAAGAAATAAAGAAAGAGGGAAAGGAAAAATGAAAGAAACGAAGAAATTGGAAAAATCTGAATAACGAAAATATTCCCTATGGCAGGATTCGAACCTGCGTCCCCGCCCCTTTCGTAAGAATTGCCACCGTCTGATTCGGTGTAGTTTAGACCACTCTGCTACGGAGAAAGTAAATAGAATTTTGCTTGGCTTGTGAGGCTGTCAATGAGGATCCATACTTTTAACGTATTTTGGGATCTCATGTTCATACCATAATAGAACACATATACACGATGCTGGAAAAACTGTCCAAAAATACCAAATGTAGCTTTGCTTTGTCATCGGAAGAGTCGAATAAAACTAAACTCTGTATGTTTTAGTGGGGACCATCGTCCTACGAACCTCGTGGACTGGCGCTACAGAATCACAAAACAAAATCGTTTTATCAAATTACAAAAAACATTTTACTTTAGGACTACCAACAGCAGCAACAACGAAAATGAACAGCACATGTAACACGAAGGAAAATAAAAACATCATCAAGATGTTGACATTCTACACTACTTCAAGCAAAAGGTTAGGAAGGAAAACCCAGTGAGTACTAGAAAGAGCTATAACAGCTACTGGACTTAAGAACCTTGTCGTCCCGGAAAATTATTTTCATGGAAATATTTTAGAAATTTTAACCGACAGTAGTACTGGCTGTTCGGTCAAATGAATATCGAATAATATTTTTTCATAAGGAAACGGGTAATATTATTACCACTAGACAGAACAGATACTACAATGTGATCCAATTCTATGGCTCGAGAGTGAAGTGAAGAATAACCCGTAGCACTGGCTGCTTGGTCAGTGAATACTGAACGTCTTTTCGTAATGAAACGGCTAATGTTACCATTAGCATTAAAGACGAGGAGAACAGATATTACAGTTTGATCCCAACGATGTACAGCTAAAGATGCAGGAGAAGTGATCGGTTTCCTGTACCACTCCAGTAAGTACCTGACTCCGCATGCTATCCTCTACTTTACGTGAGCCAGATGAGGTCTAAAATGGAGTACAGTTATACGTTACCCTATACCGTTAATAGGTCCCAGAGGTCAAGATTTAAGTTGAAAAACGACTTAAGTAAAATATTTACAGTATAAACTACGAATAAACACTTCCATTTACTGATTACAGTGCTATGTACGTACAGTATTCTGAATAAAAAAAAAACATACTTTATTATGCAATTATGATATTATTTGTTTTTAATGATCTTAAAACAATATTAAGTATATATATATTTATTTTACGATATTTTTATGTTTAACATTCTTTTTATAAATACAAATATTTAAGCAAATGCTCTGATTATAAGAAACAGTATTAAACAAGATTTACCGGCCTGAATGTCCGAGAAATTTTCACAGAAAATATTTATCTTCCGACAAGATTCGAACCTGTATCCTATACGGAACCGTCATTTAGCTTGACGTGCCTTTAACCGATTTGGCCACAGAGAAGCGTTTGGTTAGCAAGGTCGAATTTTACTGTATTTAAACATTAATCTTCCACGAATCCAAATGAAGTCACACATTATGAAATGGACAAAGTCCGACAATTATTTTAAGACATTTTTAGGTTTAACATTATTTTTATAGACACAAATATTTAAGTAAATGCTCTGTTTATAATAAACAGTATTAAACAACATTTACAGGACTGAATGTCCGAGAAATTATCAAAGAAAATATTCGTCCTCCGACAGGATTCAAACCTGTATCCTATACGGAACCGTCATTTAGCTTGACGTGCCTTTAACCGATTTGGCCACGAAGGAGCGTTCGGATAGCGAGGTCGAATTTACTGTATATTTAAGTAAACTAACTAACTAACTAACTAACTATATATATATATATATATATATATATATATATATATATATATATATATATATAATTTTAAATTTATTTAAAGATAATTTTATATGTTTATTGCTATTTTAGTGTTTGACGTTTCTAACAATTTTAATGGCTGGCGTAAACTCAAGTAAAACGACGTAAAGCGAGTTTTATTTTATTTTTCATATAGAAGTTTGACAATGTTTTTTTTCTTTTTTCTTCAAGGGAATCATCATCACCAAAATAACAAAGAATTTATTTTCATACTAAACACAGAAAGTTTTTCATCTTACAAAATCATTTCATTCAAACTTAAGTCGAAATAGTCACACTATAAACTGCAAATAAACACTTCCCATGGCCAGTTACGGTATTTATAATATGTGCGCACAATATTCTGAATTTTCCCTTATCTTCCAGCAATATCGCTTTACGCTTAGCATTAGCACTTGCACTGGGACTTTTCTTCGGAGCCATAAACAAAAATGTACTCTAAATCACATTTGAAATGTAATTAAAATAACGTCAACGGCAGAGCACAGATGTAAACAAGTCTGAATTTAAAATCGGTGTTGGTGCGAAAACCAACGCACGGGTGTCGCCTGTCGGGAGGAATTTGAAATATAAACATCTGCTGAGCATACATTATTATGCTATTATTCTATTATGTTATTTTTTGTTTTAATGATTTTATGACCCCCCCACACACATATATATATGTAATATAATATTATTTTTAAATTTATTCAAATATGATTGTATATATTTATTGTTATTTTAGTGTTTTGACGCCTCTAATAATTTTAACGGCCGACGTAAACTCGAGTAAAACGACGTAAGGCGAGTTTTATTTTTCCATATAATATTTAGGAAAAACCGACGTATCTTCGAAAAATGACTTAACTCGAAACGACTTAAGACGGGGTATCATTGTATTGTTATCATATTTGGACGGGAGCTGCACAGATTGCAGTCTCCAGGTTCGATAGAGTTCAAAAGCGTTTCCTAGTCCTTGTGGGTGGCAAATTATTTTCAACATACTAACATCTCTCTCACAGGCGGGCTATGGACAACCTCTCTCGCTCTATCGCTAGTTCCATGGAAAGTGCTCAGATGAACTACATTTCTTGGTTCCTCCAGCTCTAAACTTCCTGGCTAGGACCAGCCATGAAACTCACATTGAGGTTTATCCCTTGTTTCCTCATTAGGATTGGGTTTTTGGGTTCCTTCTAAAACCTACTTCAACTCTATACTTCTAAAATCTCCGTCTAAACTCTGAAATATTATTTATTTTCATCCTTCAGTAGGAGTAGATAGGTTTTTTGAATAGGAGTCAAGGTTTATCCCTTGTTTCCTGTTTAGGATTGGGTTTCTGGTTCCTTCTAAAGTCTACTTCAACTCTATACTTCTAACATTTCCGCCTAAACTCTGAAATGTTATTTATTTATTTTCTTCCTTTAGTAGGAGTAGATAGGTTTTTTGAATAGGAGTAGAGGTTTATCCCTTGTTTCCTGTTTAGGATTCGGTTTCCGGTTCCTTCTAAAGTCTACTTCAACTCTATACTTCTAACGTCTCCACCTAAACTCTGAAATGTTATTTATTTATTTTCTTCCTTCAGTAGGAGTAGATAGGTTTTTTTGAATAGGAGTAGAGGTTTATCCCTTGTTTCCTGTATAGGATTGAGTTTCCGATTTCTTTCTAAAGTATTTTCATTCACTTTCACACTCAATGTCAATCTTGCGTCATTGTGACATTATCGCCTTGCTTGGAGTGAATTAATTAAATATATATGGAGTACTGTTGTCATATTTGAGAAGGAGCTGCCCATTCCTTACTTTGCAGTTTGGTAGAGTTCAAAAGCGTCTCCGAGTCCTTGTCGTAGGAGAATTATTTTACACTCTACAACCTCTCTCTCTCTCCCTCTCTCCCTCTCCCGCTCTCTCTCTCTCCCTCTCCCGCTCTCTCTCTCTCCCTCTCTCTCTCTCTCTCCCTCTCCCGCTCTCTCTCTCTCCCTCTCCCGCTCTCTCTCTCCCTCTCTCTCTCTCCCTCTCCCGCTCTCTCTCTCTCCCCCTCTCTCCCTCTCCCGCTCTCTCTCTCTCTCTCTTACAGGCGGGTTATGGAGAACCTCTCACCGCTCTATCGCTACTTCCATTGCCCCAGGTCTGACCTTCACGGCTAGGATCAGCCATGCTACTCACATTCTAGCAAGCCACCCACATTCCATCCGTGTTCCAGTGGTGAGATGGAAGTTCCTCTCGAGCAGCTTCTTCCAGCCAACCGCTGCTCCGTGGAACCGACTCCCAGGGGGGTGTTTCCCCGATCACTATTATCTTAACCTGTTCATCTGATTAACCGTTATCTTCCCTTCCTATTCTATAGGCCTCTTAATGTAGCCCTCTAATAATTTTTTAAGCATTCACCCCAAGCAAGGCGGAGCTGCCACTAGCACGCAAGGGGTTACAGAGAGTGAGAGCAAGAGTAAAGAGGGGGTGTTTGAGGAAAGGATATAGAGAAGGACGGGGATCAAGGCATCAGAAGATGTCGATTGACATTACATTTGAATATTTGAAGATTATAGCTATCAGGGAAACAAGTAAGAGGAAGGGAGTTCCACTGTTGGGAAGTGCAAGAGATGAAGCTGTTGAAGTAGAAGAGGTGGTTACATTTAACTGTTTCGATAGTGAAAGGGTGGGACCGAGATGCCAACCTAGTAGCACGCTTAAATTCATGCAGTTTGGGAACCAGCGAAAGTAGCTCGTCAAAGTAGTTGCCATGAAAATATTTCTAGAAAAGACAGAGGGAAGCTACATCACGTCTGTGAGAAAGTGACTGAAGTCGAGATGCCAGGCCAGGACCTATAACATTGCATATCCGTCTTTGGATTTTGTCGAGGACCTCGAGATGAACAGCAGGGGCACCAGACCATATATGGCAACAGTATTCAATGCAAGGAGGAATGGTTGAGTTGCAGATTTCAAGGATGGACTCAGGCGAGAAAACCCTTCTGGCGCGACACAGAGAACCATCTTTCCTTGCAATGTAGTTGTTCCACCTGAGGTCAGTGGAAAACATGAGACCTAGAAGGCACAGAGAGACACTCTCGTGGAGTTGGGCATAAGCCATGCTGATAGGACATATGTGGGGGGTCTATAGTGGGTAAATGAGAGTATTTTCGTTTTGGAGGCATTAAAGTTTACAAGCCATTTCCTGCCCCAGTCAACCATATGGATTGAAGTCGGTGTGCATTTATGGTGTACCCATTGCTATTGTAAATTTGGTTATTCTACTCTTCTGTTTGGTTGTACTAAACATTGGTCGGTGTAATGGTTAGCAAGATTGTCTCACTAGAACAGTTACGACCGAGTTCTGAGTTCGATACTCACTGGGTGCATCCTACATTTGGCCTTGTGCCACATTTAAACTACGCTTGAAAAATCACTAAACATTGGAATTATAACCATGTATGATCTGATGATTTTCAATCTTTTTTGCTTAGATTTACAAATATACATTGTTGTGGATCCCAAGGAAGGGTACGTAGTTCAATCAGTGACAAAATGGTAATGACAATGGTAAGCCGTTACCTTATAAGGAAACATTTGGCATTTTTTGACTTAGCAACCGGTGTTAATCAAGTTATACTTTTCTTCACTCCCTGATCATCAGGACTGGTATCAGAGTGTAATATATTTTCTCATCTCTAAGGTTAATATTAACTGTTTCTTTATGTGGACAACTTTAGCATTCATTGAGCAAAGCAGTCGGTGTTGCTTATCTGGTTGTATCCAATGAAGTTTCAGATATCATGGCAATTCATGACTTGGTTCCATTAAGATCGATTGAAGTCGGTTTGTATTTATATTGTATCCTTTGCTATTGTAAATCTGGTTATTTTACTCTTGTATTAAGTTGTACTAAACATTGAAATTTGGGCACCTGGGGGCGGTGTAATGGTTAACAAGCTTGTCTCGCTAAAACAATAATGACTGCGTTGTGAGTTCAATACTCACTGGGTGCTCTCTAATTTCGGCCTTCTGCCACGTTTAAACTATGCTTGGAAAATCACTAAACATTGGAATTTGGGCACCTGGGGAGGATGTAATGGTTAGCAAGCTTGTCTTGCTAAAACAGTTATGACTGAGTAGTGAGTTCGATCCTCACTGAGTGCCTCCTACTTTCGGCCTTTTGCCACATTTAAATTATGCTTGGAAAATCATTAGATACCGGAATTAGAACCATTGATGATTTTCCGTCTTTGTTTTTCAGATTTAGAAATTTTAGCCTCAAAATAGTTAAAGACTTGTTCTTCCGAATTTTTCCTTCTCCATTTACAAAAGCCGTAACTAATAGAATCCTGTTAACCAAACTGACAATACCCAGTTCTTGACAATGTCTGAGACAACCGAAATTAATTTCGAACTGTTTTAAGCCAGATATACGACAAATCCCTATTTATGGTTCAATCGACCTAAAAACATTCGCCAACAAAATCGCCCCATGTTTTCCCTGACACTAAAGCAAAAAAAGGATGTTCACGGAAATAGTACGGCTTTGTCTTGTCTCTCTCGTTTTGCTGAATGCCAAAAAAAACGCCGCAGCTAAATTACAAGAGAAAACACATTTTAGACTCACGGATCAGAGATCCCAATTCTTTTAATGTTATTTTAAGTATTCAAGCTTTCTGTTCTGAAAAGCATTCGCACTTGTATTGCACATAGCAGTCGGGAAAGAAAGAAATATTTCAACAGAAGCAGACAAGATACAGAGACGGATGAAGATTGTAATTCTTTTGTTAGTTTGTACCACATTTCGGATTTGATACACACCGTTTGGTTCTATTAAGATGAATTGAGGGTCGGTGTGTATTTATATTGTATCATTTGCTATTGTAAATCTAGCAATTCTACTTTTTCTGTCTATATTTCTGAGATGAGGTATTATGTACACTATATACATTATTCGGACTATTGACCTCATCTTTGTTGCCATATTTATCACCCTTCAGTATCTGTCTATATTTCTGAGATGAGGTATTATGTACACTATTTACATTATTCAGACTATTGTCCTCATCTTTGTCGCCATATTTATCACCCTTCATATATCTGTCTATATTTCTGAGATGAGGTATTATGTACACTATTTACATTATTCGGACTATTGTCCTCATCTTTGTCATATATTTATCACCCTTCAGTATCTGTATATTTTCTGAGATGAGGTAGTATGTACACTATTTACATTATTCAGACTATTGGCCTCATCTTTGTCGCCATATTTATCACCCTTCAGTATCTGTCTATATTTCTGAGATGAGGTATTATGTACACTATTTACATTATTCGGACTATTGTCCTCATCTTTGTCGCCATATTTATCACCCTTCAGTATCTGTATATATTTCTGAGATGAGGTAGTATGTACACTATTTACATTATTCAGACTATTGTCCTCATCTTTGTCGCCATATTTATCACCCTTCAGTATCTGTCTATATTTCTGAGATGAGGTATTATGTACACTATTTACATTATTCAGACTATTGTCCTCATCTTTGTCGCCATATTTATCACCCTTCAGTATCTGTCTATATTTCTGAGATGAGGTATTATGTACACTATATACATTATTCGGACTATTGACCTCATCTTTGTTGCCATATTTATCACCCTTCAGTATCTGTCTATATTTCTGAGATGAGGTATTATGTACACTATTTACATTATTCGGACTATTGTCCTCATCTTTGTCGCCATAGTTATTACAATGTAAATGGTTTATTGAAAAATAGGGTGGCTGTTTCATTTGCTATTGTAAATCTAGCAATTCTACTGTTGTATTAAAAAATGAACTATTTATCAAGGGAAATGGTTTATTGAAAAATAGGGTGGCTGTTTCATTTGCTATTGTAAATTTTACTGTTGTATTAGCTTCTATCTAATGGAGTGTCGGATTTATAACAATTCATGTTTTGGTATTATCACGAGGCACTGAAATAGATATGTGTTGTATAAGTCCCTTTAATCTATACTTATATCCGGTTGTATCATATGCTGTATCGAATTTACATCGATTTGGTTCTCAATACATGAATTGTGTGTCACAGTCTATCATTTTACATTGTAATTCTTGTTATTTTGGTTATATAGCTACCGCTGTAGTTTCTGGAGTGGTTTGGTCAACGTTATATCAACTCTTTTCTTTTGAGCTTTGGTTAGGTTTTCTTCCCCACCACCACCTCAAATGTATTGTTGGTAATGTTTTATTTTTCTATGAAAATGTACTGCTAGTAATTTTTTTTCTAGTGTATTATTATATTTTCATGTTTTGACCCCAGTTTGAGGGTTCACTATTTATCCATAGCTGGGACCCATACAGGTGCTACCACCCCGGGTCACCGTTGAATTGGAAGCAACAGCAATTAAGAGCTGGTTCGACGATCATCAAAACCTTTTGATCAGAGGCCTTGCAGCCGGATGTAGTTTATTGTCAAACCCAGGACGATTTACTGCTGGGTGCATAGATCATAGTATGTATCAGTGATTCAGTCGACCCATTGAGTCAGTCGATCCAGTACTTTCTGAGCGACTGTTCGGTTGTACTCTCTTCCTACCGACGGGAGGAACCCGAAGGAGGCTACGCCGAAGGGCGGAGTCTTCTTCGGGGAGGTAGACCGGCCCTGAACCCGTTTATACGGGTTCAATGGGCATATTTTTGGACGAGCCCACGGGCTCGGAATGCCCACGTTAAAAAGGCCTTGTGCCACATGACACCCTCGTGGGGTGGGGGGGTGACTGAATATCATCAGTGATAAAACAGAACTTATTTTTTCTAGTTGCTGTTTCGTTTCATCTATTGCTCTTTCTCTTTGAAACACCGAGGTTGGCCCAGAAATGGTTACTAACAGTTTCTAAATGTTTCAAGAATTTCTAGAACGTTTTGGCAACAGTATAATTACAGAGTACGTACACTCAACAGTCCAGTTTACATCTCGATGTCCTTTGAAAATTCTACGACGAATAAGACCTCTGCTACGATTGGTTAGCTTTCGTTGGCTCAACTGACCGGCTGAATGCCGCAATAACAGGTGCTTGACACTTATTAACATTTTTA